AAAATGTAACAAACAGCATTTGACAAACAACAGAATAAATAAAAAGCAACACATTCTTATTCTGACCTTGTCACATATCGGCATTTGGTCATGGACTTTCCATGTTGACATATGACGTGCAAGGTACCCTGGGTGCATTAACTGTTGACGTTCTGGGATGCCATGTCAACTTTAGCCTGTCATATGCATTGTGTATTTTCAAATTACACTTCTGGCCCCCCGGGTGAAAGTCAGTGGTTGCTGTACGGATCTACCACCCCTCCCAGCCACCCTACTCAGATTTTTGCCCCCTTCACATACACTGTTGTCCTGCTGCTGCTGCAAAATGCCTCACTGCTTTAACACCCCAGCCGTGGCACAAAACCGGGTTGCAACTGGAACATGCTGCAGCTGTACCTGGTGAAATCCAGGAGCAAGACTGCCACTAAAAACCATTGTGCCAAACCAAAAAAAACTAAAACATTGTGGCTTTGTGCCAAGGCAGATAATTCAATTAAGAGAACTGACCAGCCAGTGGCGTATTTCACAGCCATATGTCTAGTTTTAATTTGAACCCCTTGTTACAAGAACTGAGCATCCAGGGTGAGCTGCATAATTAGTTATTACAGCAAGTAATGCTTTAGGTGCCTTTGATGACAAGCTGTGGACCATTGAGCTCAAAAGAATGCTGTTTGCATCAAGTGTCGTAAATTTATATTATATATTTATATTTAATTTTGCTTGAGATCTAAATATCATACCACCTCCCTCTGCTACCTCTCTGATCACTAACATTATATTGTATACATACTGTATACATGAATTAACCCAATGAATTAATGCCAGAGAAGCAGTTAGACTAAGGTAGGTAAAGGAATTTAAAGGTATTAGTGTCTACGCCACATAAAGCTCCAACACATATTCTCTTTCTGTTTTTAAACCCTCAGAGTGCCTCTGTATTCTGTTCTTTTAGTCAGTCAGGGACAACACCAGCTCAATTAATCTCCTGTAACCAAACCGCTGTCTAATCAAGCTCACAAGGGTCTGGAAAAAATGCAGTTTGGTGAGCTCTTGTTCACTCAAGTCATTTTACAGCAAATAGGCGTTTCTAGCCCATTTTTGGGGCTGCTGAAGCACCCCTAAATTCAATCCTAGCACCCCTAAAATTTGAGAGATTATTATTATTTATTTATTTTTTTTTACTGTATGTCCTTTTTTAACAAGCTAGAAAAGTGTCAAAACCATACAGTACTTGGTTGCAACTTCATATTTTAACAACAAAAATACAGCAGCAACTTCTACCACTCAATACCATCACACCACCACCAATATCATTACCAGTCCTCATTTTTACTGCATTTAATCGTAGGTCACTGTTTATGTTGTTAGGTAGGAGTTAGGTGACGTTTCTTCTAGCTAGGAAACGTTACAGGTGGTCAGTACCACTGTCCTCTGTTTGAATTGGAATAAGAGAAGCTAGCTGTTGTGTCATGTGCATGTGTTAATATTAAAGCCAAGGTGCTACTGACTAGCTAACTGACTGGATGCCCATTAACATTATAACTCCTATTGTGTGTATTTATTATTATTTTGTAGATTTCAAGCACTTTTCTTTTTTTAAGTATATTTTTATTTATGTATTTGTATTATATAATACAGACAAGAAGGAAAAAAGCAAAGACAAACATTGAAAAAGTCAATTACTGTTAATGTTACATGTTGTGCATTGCATTTCAAATAAAAGTCCAAAAAATAAGTCCAAGGTCCATTTTTGGTATTTTTGGTACTCACTATAGGGGGCTGGTTTACTCCAGAAACATACATACTGTTTATGTGTATGTTGAGGAGCTGCTGTATCAAAAGGAGTTGTCTTCCCCCAGAAATTAGGGTTACGATATGTTTCTTTTATGATTCCAATCCATTCCTCTTTTGCTGTGGCTCAGCATTTAAATAATCTTTATCAGATCTGATGGTTTAGTCACAGACTTTCCCAAAAAGTGTTGTGCTTTTCTTTCACAAATGTGGGAATGAAATTGAGTTAAAATGTACAAAACAGTAAAATTTATCTTGCCTGGCTGGGCAGCTCTCTGGGTGCTTAGCACCCCTAAACCTCTGATCCTAGAATCGCCCCTGTTACAGCATAAAGGTCTTTTCAGACAGGGAGCCACCTGCTTGGATCCATGAGGTCTCACTGTGCTCCTCATCTGAATAGACAGGCAGACGAGCAGTCCACGAGTGAATTCTGTGCCCTCTGTGTGATAACCATGGCAGCAATACCATATATGCCTCATCACAGGTCAATGTATTGATACATTGCAGCATTCCTTATTGTTGATGCCAACAACAGACTGTTATTCTTGATGGCTAAAGTTAGCTAAATTAGCACAGTCATGACTTTATAGCCTAGCAGAAGTTAAAACTATATCTAACATTTCCTGATACATCTTGTCTTGTGCCGATGCTCTGCCATGCAAAAACCATGTCCAGGATCAGGTATGTCCAGATAACTTTTTAGACAACAGTTCAACCGTACATTTCAACTCTTACAACGAGGATCGAATCTCTCATCCACTGATTTGCACTGTGCATCACAGAAAAAACTTCAGGTCAGGACAAATCAACTCTGGCAGCAGTGGGTGAGAGGAGCATGACTCCAACAGTTTCACTGGATTGCGCACACTTGCTGCTTCGCCTTTCAGATTGCCTGTGCCATCCTACCTTCCCCCTCCTCTTTTATTTATAAATGAATTAGGGGACTGGGCACTTTAGTGATGCAACACCTAAAATATGCACTTCTCAAAAAAATGAAGGGAACTCTTACATCATACATCAGATCTCGATGAATTAATTATTCAAGCTGAAAATCTTTACTGATGTACGTTGTGTAATTAGTTGAGAACAAAATGACGTAACTTTGGTCAATGGAAACCAAAATCATCAACCCACTGAAGGCTGGATTCAAAATCACAATCAAAATCAAAGTAAAAAAAAAATTTTAGTCACAGGCTGATACAAATTGTGGGAATTTTATCACAGCCACTCATAATGTGTTTCAGTAGTTTGTATGGACCCCGCATGCCTGTATGCACTCTCAACAACGTCTGGGCATGCTCCTGATGAGTCGGCGAATGGTGTCCTTGGGGATCTCCTCCCAGACCTGGATAAGGACATCAGTGAGCTCCTGGACAGTTTGTGGCAGTATTTGGCGGTGTCAAATGCACAAATACATAACATCCCATAGATGCTCAATTGGATTTAGGTCAGAGGAATGAGAGGGCCAGTCAATGGCACCAATGCCTTTGTCATCCAGGAACTGCCTACACACTGGCCACATGAGGCCAGGCATTGTCCTGCACCCGGAGGAACCCAGGACCCACTGCACTAGTGTAAGGTCTGAGGACTGCTCAGGGGATTTCATCCGTCACATATCGTTACATATCGTTGTAACACAGAGGTCTATGCGACCCTCCAAGGATATGCCTCCCCAGACCATCACTGACCTACCTTCAAACCGGTCATGCTGGATGATGTTACAGGCAGCATAATGTTCACCACGGTGTCTCCAGACTCTTTTACACCTGTCGCATGTGCTCAGTTTGAAACTGCTCTCATCTGTGAAGAGAACAGACTACCAATGGCGGACCTGCCAAGAAACATGCACACCAGTAGCCTGCTGGAGGACATTTTGTAGGGCTCTGGCAGTGCTCCCCCTGTTCCTCCTCACACAAATGAGCAGATACCGGTCCTGCAGCTGGGATGATGCCCTTCTACGGCCCTGTCCAGCTCTCCTAGTGAAACAGCCGGTCTCCTGGTATCTCCTCCATGCTCTGGAGACTGTGCTGGGAGACACAGCAAACCTGCTTGTGACCGCACTTCTGGATGTGCCATCCTAGAGGAGCTGGACTACCTGTGCAACCTGACTGGGCTGGGGGTACTGTCTCATGCTACCAGTAGTAACAAGGACACTAGCAGAAAACAAAACTAGAGAAGAATCAGTCAGGAATGATAAGGACAGAACAACTCTCTGTGGCCACCACATGCAAAAACCATTCCCTTTTTGGGAGTTGTCTTGCTTTTGCCTCTGCATTGCACCTGTTGTCACTTTCTTTTGCACAATTTACTGAGTCTTGGCTCACCCTCAGACAAAGAGGCCTCGGGACTTGATTTCAAGGCTAAGTCTAGACCACAACTGTGGCGATATAACCAAATTTCCTGTACAATAAAGGAGTGTGAATAAACATGGTTAAGTTGATCAGCTCTTTAGTGTTTGTTTGCTCATAGAAAACAAAAGAAAATTCCCATACATAATATTCACCTCTGCAATGGCTTTTGATTATTTTATCATGCCATTTGTCATGGTACACTAATACATACACATATGCTTAAAAATGTGAATGAAGAGGAATCTTCATTTGTTTTCTCAGGGTGTTTTTATGGTCATGTGGATCTTTCAAATCAGTTAGAGGAGTGCTTATGGTTTGCATGGTCTACATTTTTCTCACGCATTGTGGGAGTCATGCTCCTCTGGTCTTGGTCTTGACTCGGTCCCATCCTGCCGTGGTCGTGGTCTTGACTCAGTGTCAACCCTTTAAAGTTTTGGTCTTGTCTCCATCTGATACACTTTGGTCTTGGTCATGACTTGGTCTTGATTTATGTGGTCCTGGCTACAACACTGTTCTCTAGGCTTGAAAGATGGCTTTAAAAAGCTTGTAGTTAGTTTGCTCCTTCACAAAGAACAGCAGATTATGTTTGACTTCCTGTCACTTACAATTAATAGATTCCAGTGGTTACACAGTTTCCTCCCAGTCCTTTGGAGTTTCAGGATCTGAGTGTGACGGCCACAGACATCATAACACAAAATAAATTAGATCGTTGTGAAATGATACATTACTCTACAAAAACTTAATGCAGATTAGTCACATTTTGTGAGTTCCATTGGACAACAAAGTGCTGATGTATCTGCTGTTGCAGTGGTGTTAAAATAGTTGAGGTGACAGACTTATTATATGGTTCATTTGCAGGCTGTTTGGACACAGTGGGGCCTGTAGTGCTTGTGGACAGTCTATACCTGCCAGTGAGATGGTGATGCGAGCACAAGGCAACGTGTACCACCTCAAGGTGAGTGTGATTAAGTAACCAAATCACTCAAACATTTACATTACCATATTCTCCAGGCTGTCATTGCTGAGCTTATCTTGACAACTTCATGATATAATACTGTCTTTTTCCTCTTAGTGTTTTACCTGTGCGACCTGTAGGAACCGCCTGGTGCCTGGCGATCGCTTTCACTACATCAATGGGACGATCTTCTGTGAACACGACCGGCCGGGAGGTGGTCTGCTCAGTGGACATCCAACTCCACTGCAGGCCAACAGCATGATGTCTGACCAGAAGGTGAGAGGCCCTGCGATGCTAGTAAGCATTTCTTTATCCACTTTTTATAAGGAGTAAAAAAACAAAAAAAGTAACTTATGAAAAAAACCCTCGTAGAACTCATGGTGTGATGTGCACATTCTAACACAGGGACCTAAAAGAAGTCATCAACTATTCATCAGTATCAGGAATGGAAGAACTGATGATATTTTCAATACACAGAAATGAAATGTTACGAATTAGAAATACTGTCATTAACAAAGGAGTTAATCAGTGAGGTAAATAGAATCATAAGGACTTGTATAAAGTAATGCGTACTTATCTTGGCACTTTAATCCTCAAGATTTACAATACATAGGGTCTAATTCAATTGTATATAAAACAATTCATTAAGCACGGTTAGGTAAGGTCAGTTAAAGATTAGGCTATGAGATCTGTGTTTGAATTAATTTGAACAAATGACATGTTAGTCCTTATTTGTTGTAAACTGTATTTTTGCATAAATGACAGCCTGTTTTCAAGACAATCTCAGCAATGCCTATTAAAAAAAAAGAATAAAACAATTCTTGCCCAAGTGAACAGTCTGATTCACTTTCTTGACCACCAGAAATGGTGGAAATCTCATTATAACATACTGTCTTTAAGAATTTATAGAACTGTGGTTATATACATAACCCTTTCTTGGCAATGCAATCTGAAAAGAAATCAGTAGCACACAACCATCAGTGGCTGGGTTGGAATTTTTGGCTTGTCAAATATCAACTTTTCATCCTTAAATAGCATAAAATTTCATTAAATTACAGCAAAGCTGCAAAAGAAAATTCAAATTAATGTGCATCTCCATCAACTACTGTGATGCAAACATTCTGAATGGGGCGCAGAGAGATAAACAGCTGGTGGCATAATTCTCCAGTTGGGAGATGGCACAATGAGATAATGTAAAGAAAGGAGCTCCAGTCAAATCTCAGGTTTTTTAATGCACAAATTGAAAAAAAACAACATAAACAGGTGAACAGAAACGCACTTAAGGCTGATTTTTAGTTGTACACCATGTAAACGTTTATACTTGTGCAGTGGTGTGTCTGTTACACTCTCTATGCCACTTAGTTGAGTTTCTTTAAAGGGCTGTAAAGTTTAATTGATTCAACTAACAAACCTAAAACATGCATAAAACATGGCTTAACGTTGACTTCATTTAACAAAAGTGTGCTAACGTTATTAGCATAAGCCTATGATACTTTACATTGTATAAATTAGCCTAGTGTCTAGTGGACTTACCTTCTACTTCTATAAAGCCAGGAACAACAGCAACATTCAATACAATAGGTAAAGTTAGAAAACTTGGCTACATTGTAACAAAGTTCACAGACAAAACAGTTGTCTTATACTGGACACATTTTCTCCACAAATCCAACATGCTAACATTATTAGCATATGGCATTTCCATTGCATAAGTTAGCCTAGCAGTTAGCAGACATTTACTCTACTTAAATGAGGCCAGGAACAACAGCAACATTTAACAAAGATAATGTTACAAAATTCTTCTCCATTATAACTCACAGGGTTCACTAACAAACAACTGTCTTTTGCTAGACATGCTTTCCCCACAAATACAACATGCTAATGTTATTAGTATAAGCCTATGACACTTTACATTGTATAAATTAGCCTAGTGTCTAGTGGACTTATCTTCTACTCATATGAAGCCAGGAACAACAGCAAAATTTTAAAAAGGTAAATTTTGGCTCCATTATAACTCATTAACTTCACTGACAAAACAATTTGACTTATACTAGACACATTTTCTCCATGTATATAACATGCTAACATTATTAGCATAAACTAATGGCATTTTACATTGCATAAATTAGCCTAGTGGCTAGCAGACTTTACCTCTAGCAATGATATGAAGCCAGGATAAATCACACACAAGACTTCAAAAGCTACTTTAGAAGAGCTTTATCGTCTTGCCAATTTATATTTTCATGTCTGTGAGGGGAAAAAAGTAAAAATAAAGCATTGTTTCCACTTAGGGAAATGGTTTCAACTCTGTCGCCGCAATGTGTAGTTTTAATTTTGGTGGTGCAAGTCAGGCTACAGCAGATACAGGAAGGTACACATCTACGTAGAGCTTATGGCAAAGGTACGGCATAAATTCAATGCAATGCTGTACAGCTGTGTTACCAGTAACATGTACAGCTTCTTTTCTCCACTGCTTTCAGGTCTGCTGAGGAGGAAGATAAAAAAAAACCAAATGTGTGCCTTCTCCCCCACCTTACTCTTCTGTCTCTCCTTCACCGAGCTCCCCTCCCTCTACCTGTAAATCCTGCCATTGGTTGACCACCCTTCACCCTGATGAACTGTCACTCTACAGTCTGGATGTAGCCACTCCTGCTACTCCTTTAGATTTTAACATCCCAACAGACACTGGTCTCTCTTAGTAGACTGAGAGGAGTGAAATCTGGCCAAGTGCAGTCCCCCATTGGAGGGCTGAGGATGCCGAGGATGGCTGGAACTTATTTATACAGTAGACTGAAGTCTATTGTGAACTGTGGCAATATGACTAATAAGAAGTGGCATGGCTAGTGGGGGACAAGTAGAAGACTACCATGGAATTCATTACCTTTATCCAGCTAACCAGTGGACATTGATTACTAAGGGAAGACTGGCAGCAGTGCAATTTCTGCAAGAGCTAAAACACATTCAAAATCACACAGACCACAAACATATTTTGACCTTTTTTTGTTTTGTGTTTTGGTTTAAGGAAAAAAATGTATGTTTCTTTTGAGTCATGAATTCTACTGCTGAGTGTGTCCTCCCAGACAGAGAGACAGGTGAAAAAGAAAACATCTATATTGATACTTAAACTGTTTCTCTGTGTAATTCTCTTTCAGTTTTCAACAAACATGTTAGTGTTGGCATTTTTTTTTTTTTTTCACGCAGTGGGTTGGGGAAGTGATAGTCACCCTATGGTGGTAGTGGTCCCACCTCAGATAGAGGTAGCTTGAGTTTTCCAAATATGTTTGGAAAAAAAACTGATATCTCAGTAATAAAGGACCATACCATAGTTTTCTGCCTGTTACAGCCCATAAGCCTCAAGTTGTGTACACCATAAATTCTCAAATAGTAGCCGGGGCCTTTATTTTAGACTATTTTATTTTAGACTTTAGGCCTGCCACAATAACTACTTATGTGGGATGATTTATCATCCCAAAAATAAAATTGTGATAAATAATAGTAACAGCATTTTGAGACAATTTTATGTCACTGATGTGATGATAATAAAATTATAATAACATAATAATTCAACCGCTCCCTTTCAAAGAGCAATGAACTTTTATTTCTTAAGAATATTCAGACACTAAATATGAAACATGTTTTTTAAAAACACCGTTAACACCTGCTGATGTAAGACAGTATCTACAGGAGAAAACACAACTTCAAAATAAAAGCTCTGTTCAGGAAATTCACTGTACTTCAAAATAAAGTTGTTTTTGGTTTTTTGTTTTGTTTTGTTTTGGTTTTTTTTACAAAGTTGACATGTTCTCAAGTCCATTGCGGTCCACTCATTATGGACCAGCGACCCACTTTTGGACCCACCAGTTGGGAACCACTGTTCTAGATGATACTAAGGGCATCCAGGGGAATGTCCTGAGTACTTTGTCTACATTTTCTGTTGCACAACTGAGAACACTACAATAGATTAAGCTCATTTGGTTATAAAAAAGAAAAATGTTTTTGAGTCCACAAAATCAGGCTCCCATTCAGTGTCTGTGGAACAGCTCCAGACTTTATACCCATGACATCACAAGTTTGAGACCTCCTTCTCTGGTACTGTAGCTCATATTCACAAATATTGATTAAACTTTCCTAGGCTATGGAAATTGCATATTGGAATTCTAAATTTAGATGGTGTTCTGGTGCATGACACCCACATTCATATTAAGGTTTACTTCGCCACAAACAAACTTTGGACCTCAATTTTTCTCCATCTTACAGTTTGGTTCTATTTCTAATGAGCATGACAGCCTCAAGGAGCTGCTAGCCTGGCGGTAGGTATACTCTTTGTCCTGTTAGTTAATGGGCTGTAACAGGCAAAACCAGCAGTGGCAATGCCACTTAGAGTTGATTTAAGCAAGCCTTTATTGCTTCTAAATATCTGATGAAGAAACGCAACAACATTTTTACAGCAGGCTTTCTAACAGTGGGGGTTCTTCCTTGTTTTCATTGTTGTATATTTCTCCAAAGGCCTGTGATGCCAATAACTAAGCTTTTCTGGATTTACAATCATTTCTACATAGTCAGTGGAGATATACACAGTGATTCTTGACTTTGTTAGGAAAACGGTACTACAGAGCCCAGAAGATCAACGGTCCCCATCCACATGAATTTATTTTCTTTATACTTCATCATGATGTACCCTCTGTCCCTCAGCTGTTGACGGTAGTTCCAGACATTATAAGTACTTTGGGGGTCTATAAGTGTTTGTAAGTGTGTTTGGAAAGATTATTATTAATAATACTCTGCAAGAGATTTAGCTGCAGTGACGTATAATGTACATTCTAATTGTTATTGCAGCAAGGATCAAGTTTTTACAGTTTCACCTGATCTGTTCATAGTTCATGAATAAGTGAGGGAAGATTGGATTGGATATATTCAAAGTGCACTAATATCCTGTTATGTTGTGTGCTACAATGTATGAATCATGTTTTCTGTGTTGCAAGTTGTGTTTTTCAGTTTCAGTCAAGAGCATTAATGCCCTAAGCTGTGTATGGAAACAGATAATTCCTCAGAAGAACTTATAGTAGTAATGATTTAGCCATTCAGCTGACATGTGAGGAGTGTGTTGAGAATAATCCATCTAAAGCTACACTTAGAGTGCAGCAACGAGTTACAGGTAGCCAATGCAGACTGAGGAGTAAGTAAGAAATGCTTGTGGTTCTCAGACAAACATGGCTGATTACCCACAGGAATGGGATTTCAAAGGCCTGAGCCGAAGCCATTACAGAAGCAATTAAAGTGGGATGCGCTGGAGGCCTGCATGGGCTTTAGCTGCACTCCAGTGTTGCAGCCTAATGAGGCCTAATCTGGTGAGCTGGTCTAATTAAAAGGGAGGGAGCTTTTTCCTGTGGGCACCATGCAGCCAGCAGTTTGTGCTCTCCGTAGCTGTCTGAGGGGAAAAAGCAAGTCAGTAAATGCATTGTTTTCATCCATGAGAAGTTTGGTATTCCTCCATTCTCTGTCCATTCAAATTAAAACATTTAACTTGACATTTTTAACATGTTTTCTGGTCTCTGATCTTTCCAAGGTCTCTGCTCTGGTTTGTCATGATTGCTTTTTGGCATGAAATGTGCGTTTAAATTAGCCCTTTTTATATGGACATTTGGCATGGAAACTACGAGATCATCTCTTCCATGCTAATTTTAGGATCACTCTTTTTCCATATTGTTTGTGTGGCTTTCTGCAGAGCCGAATTAAAGGCTGATGTGAAGCAGGCAGGACGGGTAGAGGTACACATGAGTAGCCAGCTGTGACTCTTCAAATTAACAGCCCGCAGAACTCAGCAGCTCCCCTCACATGGTTAGTCCAATTAGCTTCACATTCACAGTAACAATGAGACTTTTAATGGCAGTGTTTCAAAGTGCTCTTTCATAATGATGGAGGGTGAACACATTCCTCTGGTTTTTCAGTCATGACTCCAAACCTGAGTCACACCAAGTTTCCTCTCAATCCACTCTAATGCTTTTGTTTTGTCAGGCTCCTGCTTCAGATCACCATGAAGATTGTGGAGTAAATAATGAATAAAAAGGCATCTAATGTCACAAAATACAGCAGCTACCAACACAGTTAGCTTTGTGTTCAACTCAATTAAAGGGTCGATTTAGCGGCATGTTGCCACACAAGTTTCTCTTACCCTGGACAATATGGAGAAATTATTGTGAGAGATTTTTATTGGAACACATTGCTACTGTTCTTTTATAAATCCCCACATTATGTTAAACCAGTGCCTGATATTTACCTGAGTAGTGACATATTGAAGTTGTCGGTCCACTGCTTTGGTGCAAACTGAGTGTCTTGACAAATATTGGCTGGATTGCTAAGGGATTTTGCACAAATACTAATGGTATGGTAATCCCTTAACGGTAGAGCGTGTAAGATTTAAGAGGATTTAGTGGCATCTAGTGGTGAGGATTGCAGATTGCAACAAGCTGAAATTTGTCCATGTTATAATTCTTTTGGTGTTCATTGTTTAGGAGGTAATCCAGTTATCTTTAAAGGTTTCTCCCTATCCAAAACAAACAGACACAGTGGTTAAACCAGTAAAAACAGAGTCATTGCAGAGGGGCTACTAACTACAGTTGCCAAAGTGAATATGCAAATGAATATGCAAATGGCCCTTTCTACAGCCAGTGTTTGGTTTGTCCATTCTAGGTTACTGTAGAAACATGGCAGTGCAACATGGCAATATCTGTAGATATGGACCTGCTCCCTATGTAGATACAAATGGCTCATTCTAAGGTAGCAAACGCACGATTCTTATTTCCAGGTGATCATACACCAAAGAAAACATACTTACTATATTCTATTCCATTTCTGCCAATATATCTCCCTAAATTCTACACACTGGGCCTTTAAAGGTATACTATGCAGGATTTTCCTATACAACATTGTATCCACTCATTCAAAAGTCATCCCTCTCACTCATCACTTATGACCTGGAAGTGTGTGGCAGTGTATTCTACACCTATTTTCTGATTGTCCTTTTAATTTGCTGTGTTTGGGACTTGTATGAGCTGCAACCTTTGGCCAGTAGTGTGTAGCCCTTAGCCAATAACAGGTGAGGTCTGGACTTTATAAAAAAGTAGCAAACAGGTATTCAAGAAGAAGCCATTAAAAATATAGCAATGAGAAACACCAGGCGGATAAAGCTTGATCCAAAACGAGAGTTAATCTGGGGTTGGCTTTCACTTTCAATAGCGAGCACTGAAGGAAAAGATGAAGACCAACACTTATTTGGCCTGATTTCTGTTGGACAGGTAGGTGGAGGCAGTTAGCGTAATTAGTTTGCTAGCTTTTGCATTACAACAAATGTAAGGTTCCTATAAAAGTACAGTAGCTAACAGTGAAGCAACTTAGGGAGAGGGGCCAAGTTTGAATGTTGCGTTTACAAACCCACACTAACTTGTAACCGAGTGACTTACAGTTTTTACATAGCATACCTTTCACTTCTCTACTCTCATCATCAGGTCAAAATTTCAGTCCTTTCAGTACTTTGGTTTTTGACCAAATACCAGCAGAATTGACAGCATTCCCTTTTTATGCCTCCACACAGGTGCTAGCCGTGGCCGAGGGCATCATGTTCTGTGGTTGTCTGTCCATCTGTACTCCCATTCATGTGAATGCAGTATCTCTAGAACATTTTCAAATTTGAGACAAACGTCCACTTGGACTCACTGATGAACTGATTAGATTTTGGCAGTCATAGGTCATAGGTCAAGGACACTGTGACCTTAGCTGTGTTCAAAATCGCTCCCTATCACGGATATAGTGCACTATATATTGTGTTCACCATTTTGTAGTGTTGTTCGAATTCTCCGCGGCTAATTTCATTCACTATGTAGTGGACTATAAAATACCCACAATGCACAGCAAATGTGAGTGAACAAACGATGTACCCTACATTTTACTCCTGTATACCACAATGCAATGCGGTCGTCTTTTGCCAGAGGAGAAGAATAAAGGCGCAACAAGCCAATAGTTTGCAGCTAGCATGTTAGCTTAGATTTTTTTAGGCTAATTACCAGTTGATGTCGGCGAATCAACAAAAGGCGCCTTAAACGCCTAAGGTGCGTTTGCCTTCGCCTCCGTCTTTGCCTGAGAAGCAGGGTTTGGGTCAGCAGCATCCAAACAATCACCAGAATCATTATTTTAATACACAAAAAGAAAGAAACGAATAGGATGCTAGCCGGAAACGTTAGCTCACGAGCTAACAATAGCCACTTAGCTCGCACGAGCCAGGTAGCTTGTAGCTCATGCACTATCATGGGTTATTACAGCTCACAATGCAGACACACAACCGTAGCTGACAAAACCAAACGTCCACACCACTGACATTTCAACAGTTTATTGACAAAAAGTACAACCACCATACAGTTCGATCATCCTCAAAGCGCCCGGTTTGTTTACATGATGCTCCACTTGCGTCACAGGAGTATGCGGCGCAGCTACTGACGCAACGACGTTCAGAAAATTTCAGTTAGTGTCCGAAATCTCGTTCAGTCGTTCCCCATGTAGTGCACTATACAGTAAACACGAAATAGGGAATAGTGAGTGAGTGAGTGAGTGAGTGGACGGTTTCGAACACAGCTCTTGTCTGTCTCATTTTTGTGCATGCAGTATCTCAAGAACAGCTTGAGGGATTTTTTTTTTTTTTTTTCAAATTTAGCACAAACTTTGACTTGGCCTCAACAATGAAATTATTAGATTTTGGTAGTCATAGGTAAATGATCAAGGTCACTGTGACCTTGCATATTTCTAATTCTTGAGAACATGATATCTCAATAATACTGTGAGGGAAGTTCTTCAAATATGGCACAAACTATCAAGTGGACTCAACAATTGAACTGATTAGATTTTTGTAGTGTAAGATAAAGGTCAAGGTAACTTTGACCTCACAAAACATGTATTGGTGTCGGTCTCATTCTCGAAATGCAAGTTATCTCAAGAATGCCATGAGGGAGTTTCCTTAAATTTGGCACAAACATCTACTTGGACTCAGGACTGAATTGATTAAAATTTGGTGGTCAACAGTAAAGGTCACTATGACCTTGTGTCCATATCATTCTCTTAAAAATAATATCTTAAGGCCTTCAGAGGGTTTCCTCAAATTTGGCACAATTGTCCATTTGGACTCAAGAATAAACTGATTAGAATTTGGTGTTCAAAGGTCAAGGTCACTGTGACCTCATAAAACATCAGTGATGGCCAACATTTAGCCATCATTCAAGCTAATTATGACAAAACTTCACACAAGTGTCTAATAGGATAAATTGATGAAATGATGATGTTTTATATCCAAAAGGTCAAAGGTCAGCTTGACTATGAAATCATGAAGTTAAAACACTTTTCTGGCTTTTATTCAACCTCAGCATCATTTTTTTTCTAAATCGGGAAATCACAACAAGCTGATAAAAACTCTGTTCCGCACCACCTCAGGTCAGTATATTGTCACAATGACACAATGATAGAGCTCACTCATGTCATACAGCACACTAACAAAAAGCAGAAATTATCTAAGGCTGAAATTAAGTATGTAAGTATATGTAACAAAGTCAAACTGAGGTAGATTAAGCAAAATGAAAATATTACGTGTCATTAATCAAACATGAATCAAGATGCTGTTAATGCGTTGTGTATGTCTCTCCTAAAATGTTCTTAGAAACATATATCGGTGGACTGTTTAGCTGTAAAATGACATAGTTTGTGACTCGGCAGCCATGTTGGATACAGTCAAGTGGAAACTAAGCACTGCCCACTCGCCAGAGCAAACTTTCTCATTTTACAGCAAAACAATACACTAAGATATCTGAAAGCATCTGAAGTGATAAATAGGCAATGCAGTAACAGAAACTTGACTTCTATTTCATCAGTGCTGCCTAGTGTGACAGTTTGACCACAGTTCAAAAGCAGTGATTGACATGATTGACAGCTGTGTTGGGGACTCCTCGGCTCTGATCAGTTGTTTTCCAACGACTGCGGTACATTGTGGCAAATGCCATTTGAAGCACTATGAGGAGAAAGATGGCTTTAAAAGACAGCGAAAGCCAAAGAAGCCAGAATCTGACTTTGTTGTAAATAATCGTCTACTTTATGTGCTTGTACAAGCTAGCTTTGTAGTTAACTGAACGTGACAGCCTGGACTAGCAACAAACTGGGCCAAACATTGGGCCATACGAACATTGATGCGTCATACTCATACTTAAGTGCATATGTGCAGTGATGCAACTGCTTAGCTTAAGGAAACTCTTAGAAATCATACGGTCCATCTGCAGGCCCTCCTAAGGATTTTATTTTATGGTTATATGCAGTGGTGTAGTGGTAGCTGATGAGGTGGATGTACTACTTAGTAGTTGGGTAAGTTACAGAGGAGGAAGTGGGCATACTCTCCTATATAGTCTCATGTTTTTTTGTCTGATAAGTGGGTATACTGTTATTGGCCAGAAAAAGATGTGGGTATACCCCGTACACCTGCGTATACCCTCCACTACAC